CTTAGGCAGGGCTTTTTCTGAGCAGACCGTCAGTCCCTAGTGAAAGGGTTAGTTTTACCCATTTAGGTACCTGTTTGCAAATCTGATACAGGATATAGACAGGGCATAAAGGGGAAGGAAAAAAAGATGAAGAAAATCCAACACAGTGGTTTAACACTGGAGAGGGAAAGGAAAGGAGAGAGAGAAGGAAAGAAAGAAGTGCACAGCAGACAGAAGCTGTATATCATCAGCAATTGCCTCCTTTGCTGTCTCCAGATTTATACTATGGAAGGGATCCATGACAAAACCTATGGGTATTATTCTCAACAAATCCCAGTGGGTCAGGCTCACAGTATAGAAAATAAGAAGGAAAACTGTCTGAGTGGAGCAATATCCCCAATCAGAGATAGGGTGTGGGGATGGGACCAGGGAACTGCAGGAAAATATCATGTGTTCTCTCCTTCCCAGTGAACTTTGACAGGCATTGTCTAGGTCCTTCTCATAAAAAACAGGGACTCCATATACAGCTGTGCAGGCTGTGCACTGCACAATTCTAGAGAAAACAAAATGAGAGTGGTACTCCTGAGGAATGCAAAATAGAAGCCCTGCTCCAGATATCCACATGGCTCTTTCTCTTGTCTCCTTCAGGTTCTAGCTCAAAGGCCACCTTTGCAGAGAGGCTTTCTCTGACTCCACTACTGAATTTTTCAATCTCCACTCGACCCCTTCTTATCCTTGACAAGTCCCTACTCCCCTTCACCACTTTTCATGCTTCCTTGTAGCTCTTACCACCACCTCACATACATCACGTTTTATTTATGTATTTTGTTTGTTTGCCTTCCTCAACACAGAACACAGCATCATGAGGTTGGAGACTTTTGTCTGTTTTATTCTCTGCTGCACTGCCGGAGTCTAGAATTATGCCTGGTAGGTGCACAACAAATTATGCTGATTGGCTAAATCCACAATCACATTCTTAGAGTACAGCAACCAGGCTTTCACTAGAACCCGTGATTCTCTGACCACATTTCATAATTGCTCTTCCTTATATTAGGAGAAACACATTTTCAAATCTTACGGACCATTACATAATTTCTGCGGCTCATAAGCTTTTACATAGTTTCTAGGGGCCCTACAGCTACATAATTTATTACAGAAATTAAAACAACAGGAGTAACCTGCATAAACATACTTGCACAAATTTATACAATCACAGAAGAAATATGTATACCCAGGTATGCGATTAGCCAGTTAGCTGTTTTTTTATGTCACTGTGCTTACACTTCCTTCTATAAATGCCACACATGTGATTTTTCTCTCAATTACGTTTTATAGCTTATAAAAACACTTTATTTTGTCCCTTGAGAAGCAAAGCAGTCTGATTTTACTGAATGTTTTTATTGAAACAAATCCCAAGGGGAATATACTAAACTGTTAAACACAGCTGGAGAGATATGTGAGAATGGGCCTTCTGATAGAGGAATAGATTACAAAATTACTCACAGCTCTTAATCTGATCATGGGAGAATGTCCCCCACATATGAATGGAGCCTTTCTTGGTATGCTTTACTACAATGAGAAAGAGAGAAAAAGAGAACTGGAGAAAGAGAAGGTGAGAAAAACCCCAGAGACTAGAAATGTTCTAGTCATCATTTATCACTAACCTAAGAATCCCAACCTATTTCTCAGTGGAAAATGCATCAGATAGCCAACCTTCACTGATGTCTGGGCAGAGGCTGTGTGGTGCTGTTGAATTATGAGGGCCAGGCTCAGGGACACAGTTTCCTTGTCTATAACACGGGGAGGTCAAGATTTTGATATCAGCCTTGTCTATCTTGTAAGGTTGTTGTACAATCAGAAAGATGATATACTCAGAAACAGCTTGAAAATTTTAAGAGGTCTCTAAGTTCGAAATTTTTGATTTCTAAAAAATTTCTATTATTTAACAGCAAACAGGATGACTTCTAACATTGTCATTCTTGTGTGATGTCCCCTTAATAATTATGGATCTTGGTTCTAGTGTCTACGTGTGACATTTATCTGTATATGTAGATTGTAAACTCTTCAAGGGCAGAGATTTCATTTCTTTCTTTTTAAAAATGTTCCCCTAGGGGCCGGCCCGGTGGCGCAGCAGTTAAGTTCGCATGTTCCACTTCTCGGCGGCCCGGGGTTTGCCAGTTCGGATCCCAGGTGAGGACACGGCACCGCTTGGCAAAAGCCATGCTGTGGTAGGCGTCCCATGTATAAAGTCGAGGAAGATGGACACGAATGTTAGCTCAGGGCCAGTCTTCCTCAGCAAAAAGAGGAGGATTGGCAGTAGTTAGCTCAGGGCTAATCTTCCTCAAAAAAAAAAAAAGTTCCCCTAGTACCAAACAGATATGATGCTCAACATACAATCCTCAGCTATTTTCGGTGAGGCAAATGTGGGCCTGGCAGCAACTCAGCGTCTGTTAAGAACAGGGAATTAAAGTGATCCTGAGTTGACAACAGTCAGTATATCAACCATTTATTACTAAGAGGTGACTATGTTCCAATGAGCAAAGCCCTTGAAGAAACTCTGCCCTGAAGGCTCAGAGTCAAAGACACCAGTTTCAACACACACTATGGAAGTAAAGGAGGTTACCTGCCCAGCCCTGGAGTTTCTGCATATTTTCTCCCCTTAAGGTGGCACAATTAGGAAATTTGCTATTCCATGAACAACCACAGAGAATATTATGGATGGTGGGAAAACAAAGCATAGATGGTTCTGGTGAGAAGCATTAAGCCTAATGACAGTGAAGAAGAAACCATGAAATTGGAATGGAGAAAAGCATAGAAGGGCTTAGGAGCAGCTCTGACCAAACCAAGGGAAAGGGATGAGGAAGAAAGGGGCAGAGAGTTGGGAGCAGCTCTGAATGTGCAGGGAGCTGCGTACACATCATGGATGTGTCACCATAGGCACTGGCGCAGCCAATTACAGAAAGGGGTGTGTCCTGTTAGCCCGCTTGAGTTATTCACTTTGTTCTGAGATGACCACGTTTGAGAAAAAGTTTATTTGAGGATATTATATACATTTGTCAAAGGAAAATTAGACTAATGCTATTTTGGACTATTTTTTTAATCAACAGATAAAGAAATTGATGTTTGAAATGTATTTCTTAGTCTAACTCATTGAAATAAATTTTTAAAAATTTCAAGATTATAGTGGGACATATGCTTATATAATTTTAAAAGGAATTTATAAGATAAGGGTATTTTTCATGCTTAGAAAAGTGTCATTTTTCTTTTATTGTAGGTTTAAAAGTCATGAAAATACTACTTATGAGCTTTCATATTGACTGGCTGTGGTTAACCTTGTACATCTTTATCATTCAGATAAACCTTATCCACTAATTCTGAAGGCACCGAGTGCACATCTAATGTAAACCTCTACTGCGATGTATTAAGAACAAAGCCATCTTTGAAAAAGCAGTAGTCAGCAGGTCATCTTTTATATGCCATAAATTCCATCATACTAAAATCAAAATATACTTAGGTTAATAACTATAGGCTTATGCACTGTTAAGTCTGAAACCTGAACAGAATTTTTTAAACACCAGTATATTTTATAGGCAATCAGACACATTTTTGGTACTACAAAAATTTCTTATGAGTGACGTAAATTTTACCTGTCTTATTCAGCCATTCAAAAAGAATGAACAGTGAATACACCACAGACTTGCAGTCTATGATTGGAACCAAAGCACCTCACTTCTGTTCCACTATGGAAGTTTACATGTTAAAACAAAGCCCAATAAGCTTAGAGCCAGAAAGGAAAGCTCTGTACCTGTAAATAATCCAAGCATCACTTACAGTTTACATAAAAGCACAATTTATGCCCAGTAGCACAGAGAAACATGATGTACATCATTTTCAGATCATCCTCATGCAGACAAAATTCATTAGTCAGCTATAATAGTTTAGCTATAAAGGAAAATAATGTTTTTCTGAATCCATTTGCATGGCAATGCGCATGTGTCTGGCTGATGAAAATGACAGCATAAACCTCCACCACAGCATAAACTCTACAAAATGTGAACAGTCTTCTTAACATTCAGGAGAGGGTCCAGATAGTCCATATTCTCTCCAATGTCAGTTTTTACAATCCTCTCGTATTCATCGACCATCTTAACTTGGCAATTAAAGTATCCCGATTATTTTGCCTAAGAGAGTTGACAATATTTCATTCTGCCCCAGGGCTCCTTTGAACATAAAACGGTGATAAGGTAAAATACACTGGGCAACTATTCATGTGTGAGCCACTGCAATCCTCTTCAACTGTCAAACGAGTAAATGACTCTTAAAACATAAAAGGTATGAAACGGGAAACCTTACTTCGGAGTAAATTCTGCATTGGCAATGGTTGGTGAAAATACTCTCGCTGGTGCTTTAATTATTGGGTCAGTACCAATACAAGCCAGACTGCTGACCTCTGGTTATAATCTACTTCACCCAGTAAGACAGATGTCGTTCACAGAGCCCCAGCAGAGAGAGAAGGTACGATTGAAAACGATGAATCACAAGCCTGTGTATTTGCTAGAAATGAAGAATTCAGAACTTCACAGAAACACCTGCCCCTTAGAAGAACCCCCATGTAATACAGATAAAGGAGAGCTGGGAAAAGGAAACCGCTCGGCGGCCCGAACCTTGCCGGCTGCATCACCCTGGGACTGGGTGACCGGATCCCTTTTGTAAGGGCTGAGTCAGATCACAGCCTTGAAACTTGCCCGGCCATAACAGTCATACAACCCCCTCTACCCCAGCGCCCCTCTCTCTCCAGTCATACAGGCGGCCGTCAGAAGCGACCCCCTAAAACGAAAAGCCCCATTCTAGCTTCGACCTCCCCCCTGGGCACAATCCTTCAGTTGCTGAAGCCCCTAAACTCTCGCCCACCTCCCTGGTCTTGTCCTCTGGAGCAGTAGTCGGGTTTCTTAAGGGAACAAAGAGAGCAGAAGCGCTGGGGCGAGGGGTGGGTACGGGATCCGAAGGGGCTGTAGTTTTACCTTGCAGTGCCAGGACCCGGCCGGGGGAGAAGTCAGCCGCGCCGGGACCACCCGCGCGCTCCGCGCTCCCCGCCTCCTCGCAGCAAGTCAGCTGTCGCCCCGCATCTGGCTCGCGCCCTGCGCTGGGCTCCGCATCTGCTCACAGAGCGCTCGGGGCGCTGCGGGCGGCGAGAACCTCCGGGTCACCTGCCGCCGGGCCCAGCCGAGCGCCCCGTCGGCTCTCCGGCCGCTCCCCCCGCCCCTTCCCACCCGCGAGCTGCCCGGCCCGTGACTCAGCCGGGCATCGGCGCGGGCCCGGGCGCGTCCAGGCTGGAGGCACGGCCAGGCGCCCCAGCGCGCCGCCCGCCCGCCGCAGCACGTGTCTGTCTGTCCGGCGCACCGTCCGTCCGCCCGCCTGCCTGGTCCGCGGGTCCAGGGACCGCTGAGGTGCGGACCGGCACCACCCCGAGGGGGAAATCGGCCCCCGCCCTTCCTGCCGCCCGCGCGCCGCGCCTGGCCCCGCGGGGGTCGCGTTTCCTCCTGCCCCGCCCCCGCCCCCGCCCCCGCAAGGTGAAACTTTCTCGGGGGAGAAGTTTCTCGTTTGGCTGCGCGCTCTCGCCTCTCCGAGCTCGGGCAGTTTGCTGGGAGCCCCGCCGCAGAGCGGCGCGACCGAGTCTCCCCCTCCTGGTGCTCGCGCGGCGAGCGTCCCCGGCGCGCACTCCGCTCTGCCCGCGCGCCGCCGGCGGGACAGGCGCGAGGCTCGGCGGCCGCCGGGCGCTGCCCCGGGACCGAGGGATCCGGGCAGGGCCGAAACAAGGCGTGCATTGTCGGGGCGGAGGTAGGAGTGGATGCACGAATTGTCCCCAGGATTTCCTTGCGTAACCATGATCCCGTACTATCATAACTCGAATTTCTGGAAGGAAGAACAACACGGGAGTTTAACCCTGAGGAAACTTCAGTTTCTTAACGTTTTCTTTCTTTCTTTTTTTTTTCCGTAGCAGGAAACAGGCTGATTAAATAACTAGTCAAACAGCAATGAACAAGCAAAACAGAACAAAAGTTTAATTCTTGAATGTTGAAATCTTATGATGCTTTGTAAAAAAAGGGTTTTAGTGGCTTAGTGCATTGTATTAGGATAACTTTTTATATCTCACATGTCTGAATATAGAAATTGACATAAACCTTCTGGAGAACACAGACACTCAAAGGTAACAGGATCTAAGGAAGAGCATTGCCTGCTAGGACGTGTCATTGTCCCGTTTGACTCTCAGAAGGCCCTGACACATGCGGGCATCTGGTAGTTATCGACTGTCGCAGGACAAAACGACATTGTGCAGGTTCAGGAATTATTTAGTAGAGAATGAAAAATAAGGAAATACAGTAGGAGTAGTTACGGTTTTCCTGAGATCTTATTATATGCCAGGCACTTTACTGGGGACTACATAGAACAATTACAATTTTCAAGAGAGATTACCTCATAATTCCCCAATTTTATGGAAAAGGAAAGTTCCTGTTACATAATATTGTACTAGAACTCTGCCTTGAACCGTTTTGCAGATGGGGAAACTGAGTGCCTGAGAGGGTCCCATAGCTGGTTAGTAAAAGAGGAGACGTTAGAACCCAGCCCTCAAGTCCCAGTCAGGTGTGCTTCACACCGGGCCGAGAGGCCGCAGTCTGTCCCGGGTAAACAGACAACGCAGTCCTACCGAAGTTTTCCTGACATCACCTGGCATGATTTAACAATGACTACAGTTCATAGTAAAAGGCTGATTTACTGGTTGGAGGGCACTGGGTCTATTTATGGGCAAATCGATTATAGATTTGGGGTTCAGTACCAACTTCAACAGAAGGTGAATAAACCAATGAATTTACACACACACACACGCACACACACACAATTAGCCATAGTTGTCCAAAGGCATGATTAGAGTGCTGTTTCTATTTCCTGGTTTCCATAGCAATGTGTTAACTGGATTTTTAGATTGCATCATGTAGTTGCCTTAACAGGTTTTCTGAGTTTGTGTGTCATGATAAAAATATAAAAGAAAAAAATTAAAGTGGTAGAAAGATCCAGAAAAGCCAGTGTAAACTGGAAAATAAAATAGATTATAATCCAAATAATCTATTATGTATTTTTAGCTCTGAAGTTTCCTAGTTACTAGTTACCGACAAATTTGAATCCAGCTTTGAAACTGTATTAAAAGTTATCATTTTGATTTATTAATTTTAAATAAGGAGATCACATTTTATAAAAATAACATAACTAAGAATAGCATAACTGAAAGTATGTGTGTGCACATCAAATAGTTAGTTTTTACTTACTGCCTAGATAGATTTGACCAGAAAAAGAGTTAAAAGTAAATTCACATATTTGGAAATGGAAAGAAGAAGAAAAAAAGTTAATAGGAGTTCTACAATTCAATTTTGGTTTTGTGGCCAACTTTAATTGTTGCTGTTTAACTTTCCTTGGATCCATGGCATGGGTGACACACTGTATGATGAAGTTCTGTTGGTATTTTCCTAACCAAACCAAACCCCTGTGGCCAACACTGTTGGCAGTCTAAGCCAACACCTGTTCCCAACCAGATAGATATTCTCTTGCCTACCTCCACTCTTGTGGCTGGAAAGGAGAAATACTTGCTTTCCCAAACACCTTTGCAACCAGACATGACCATGTGACGTCATTCTGGTGAGGAGTTAAGCTGAAGTCTGTTGGGGACTTCTGGGAAAGAGTTTAGTTTCCCTAATAAGCTGGTACCACCCCTTCTCACTTCTTGCTTTCTTCATTTCATATATAATGCCCAGCAAAGAGCTAGCCTTCTTACGACCTGAGGAGAGAAGCAGGTCTCTGATATTGCTGAGATACAGCACCAATGCCAGTAGACACCTGCTCCCAGATTTCTTGTTTTGTGGAAAAATACTTATGACAGACAGTTAGCCAGAGTTTCTGTCTCCTCTGGCCAAAAGCATTCAAACCTAATACACCCCTCAAATGGGGAGCAAGACATCTCCAAGTTTAGCATAGTAGTTAAAAATGTGAGTTTTAGAACCAGACAGCCTGGATTTCAATCCAGGTTCTGCTGCTTGCCAGCTAGGTAACTATAGGCCAGTGGCTTAAATTCTCTGTGCCTTATCTGTAAAATGAAGATAATAAAAGGATTATTGTGAGGGTGAAATGAGGAGCTACAAGGAAAGCACATGGAATAATGTCTGGTAAAATATAAGTGCTCGAAAGACGTGAGCTATCCTTGCCCACATACTTACGGATAACGTAGTGCCCAGCTATAAACAAGACCCCGTCTTTAACCCTGAGATGGGCCTAATGGTAGCCATGGGCAAAGGAGAGGAACAGTGGCATCTTGCTCTGGATATGCCACATCCTTTCTGCTCTCCCTTCAACACAGTAAAATTTGGATCTTTGAAGGTACTCTTTTGTTCATTCACATGGTACTGTTCTTGAAAGAAAAGGAAAGACGTCTTCTTAAGCACAGGGCCTTCATGCTGGCAACTGTGGAGGATAGGGCCCACAGACTTGCATAGGCCCACACAATGTTTTTTAAAAGTTTGGGTTGCAGTAGACAGAACATAGGTTCTGCAGGTTGCCGTCATCCTACTGTCTTTTCTTGTAGTCCATCCAGCCAACCTCCAATCTTGATGCCACTTTCTCTTGTAGGCATTACGGTCTGTGACCCCTATTTTAGAGTAGGTATTCTTGGATTCTTTCTCTCTACTCTCTCTCTCCTTCCCTTGCCCTGTCACTCCTATTATTGTACCTATGGAAAATGTCTCCACAAAAGGGCAAGAATAATAATTTAGGTGATGGTTCCTCAAATCATTTCTGTAGGCAAATGCAATTTGGGGATGTAGGACTCTTCTTACCTTTTTAGAAATACATCACACATGTTAGAATATTGAAGATTCTGAAAATTCGCATGGATAAACCAAACAGAACAAAACTAAACCAAAAGCATGCTGTTTTTTTTTTTTTTTTGCCTTGTAACATCTTCTGTAAAATTAGTTTAGTAGGTAACACACTTTGGGAAACCTTGCCTTAAAGAAAGGAAATGCCAGCTACAAGGGGTTAGAATGAGTCTCTTTCAATATGAACTCCTTTTATGTTGATTTATATTGGTCATTTGCTTGTGGCTGGGCTCTCTAAAAATAAAACATGCAATGCTAAGTTATCTAAAAATATGACCAAGCATATTCAGTATTGAAGACAAGTACAAGACTGCTAGGCTCTTGAAGCTACAAGTATCATGATTTTAATCAGAAGGCCTAGGAAACTAAAGGCAGGAAAATTAAAAATAAATTGCTATCTCCAACAGGGTGCCGTAATTTTGTTAGTAACTTGGTTAATTTTTGCATCCAGCTTGTTGCCTCTCTCCTAAAATCAGGCCAAGGTATAATATATCTAGCTCTCGTTTATTAAATGTCTATCATGTATCAGTCATGTGTTTGAGTTCTACTTGTGACCTCATAATAAAAATCCAAGACAGGTATCCTTCTCAGTTTACATCCCGGGAAATGAGCACATAGAGATCAAGTAACTTATTCAGCATCATACAACTGGCCTAAGTCTGTCTCTTTCCAGAACTCCTGCTCTTCCCGTTTATTATAAACTGTCACTGGTCCTCTGGTGAGTGACGCAGTTATTGAACATGGAGCAGCAGAACTTAAGTCTTCCTCTCATTTTCCTTTCTTTTCTGTCCACAAAGTCAGCTGTAACTTGAGGCACGGTCACCCCTCTGTTTGCTTGACCCCTGGGGCCTGGATGTTGCAGTGCAGAATAAAGGTGCTGGCACCACCTATATTGTCCATCTGTAAAACACTGCATGGGGTGGAGTGAGGGACCCCGGCAGTCAGGTGGCCTGGGTGGTGGGCTCTAGGTGCATAGGACGTAGACCTCCTGCATGTGAAAACGACTTGGGGTGCGCTTTCCCCAATGTCTCTGTTTTTATAACCCCTGAGCTCTCCTTGGGGACCCAGGGAATGTGAGAGAGAGAGGGAAGCACCAGATGACAGAGAGTCAGGACTCCTAAGAGAGGGTGTTTAGGAGAGTCTCTGTCCTCTCAGAAGATGAGAAATAGAGGCAAAGACTTGCAGAAAGTCCCAGAAGGCTGCCCTTTTTTCTATCAATACTTTCCCTCCCTGAAGCTGTGTTAATTTGTCTTTCATTTCTTTTCCTCTCTTTTCCTTTTCTGTCTTTTGCCTTGTGGTAAATTGGTAAAAGCCTTTTGGGGAAGAAAATGCGAAAAATCTTTCAATTTTACACAACATAGTATATAGCATTATTTCCCAACTAGCGTATCCATTCTATTTGTTAGTTTAAACTGTTTGGCGCTAACACAAATGGATTAGCCAATCTTGGGAAACAATACACAAAAATAAATGTGATTCCCACACTAATCAGCAT